ATGGTACAAATGACCATTTCTATGGCACAAATGACCATTTTTATGGCACAGAAGACCATTTCTATGGTACAAATGGCCATTTCCATGGCACAAATGACCATTTCTGTGGCACAAATGACAATTTCTGTGGCACAAACAACCATTTCTAAGACAGAAATGACCATTTCAATGGTACAAATGACCATTTCTATGGCATAAATGACCGTTTCCATGGTACAAATGACCATTTTTGTGGCACAAATCACCATTTCTATGGCACAAACAACCATTTCTATGGCACAAATGACCATTTTTATGGTAGAAATGGCCATTTCTATGGCACAAATAACCGTTTCAATGGTACAAATGACCATTTCCATGGCACAAATGACCATTTCAGTGGTACACATGAGCATTTCTGTGGCACAAATCACCATTTTTATGGCACAAATGGCTGTTTTCGTGGTACAAATGAGCATTCTTGTGATACAAAGTGCCATAATCATGGTACAAGTGACTGTTGCCATAGTGCAAAGTATCGTGAGTCGTGATAAAACTGACCATTTATTTTGGCATAATTGACCATTCTTGTGGCTCAGCTCAGTTTCTAAGTAGCAATCAACCATTTCTGTGGCACAGTTGATCCTTCTTATCTGCGGAATGAGCGTATCTCCATCACCACTAGCTAGATGCGTATTAGAAATTACCAGTGCTATGGGATAAATAACCATTGCTAGTCCTTATAATCAACTACTTAACTCATATGCTGTATTATATACATTGGCATCTTGCAATATTTTATGCAACTGTTTGAATATATCTTTAATAAGTAATATACAACATTTTTGCAAATATCAATGATTTGTCCTAAACACATTATTGAACGGAATTTATTTTGATTAAAAAACATAAGGACATATGTGTCATCATTCCGTCAGTCTAGGGCTCAGTGAATCGACTTTCAATGTCGATGAACCTTACTTGTTTTTTTATATTTTAGATTGGCTGCAACGATACAAAATTATACAATTCAATTCAAATCAAGACAATAAAAAAATGTAGGTATCAGTTTTTATTTTTTTTCTTCCTTTTTTTTTCTTTATTGGATCATACAGAGGGTGGTAAGTCCTCTTGTGATCTTTTATATTCATGTTTTTCTTTTCCTTTTAAAGACGTCATCATTCAACATCAACGGGTGAGTTAATTTTTTTTTTTTTTCTTTTCTTCGTTGAGATGAGACTAGTTGGAGTGAGTGAGGTACGTTGAGATTAGAGTTTCGCCTTATAAGAAGGATTTCCGGGTAGTCCCTAAAAACCTGACCAGGAACTCCTTTGGTGTCCATGGCAACACGATCGGACCCCCAGACTCACTGACATATGACATCGGATGGGTGCATGTGGATGATGTGGGTCTTCCCGCGCGTGCATGAGCTTTACGCTCGCGACGGCTTCACCAGGATGGTTCCTGGTCGCGCACGCGTGCGAATAGAATAGCAATGAATTCATTTTTTCGTTCAATCACGATTTATTTGTAAGAGAAACAGAACAAAAAAAATAAAATTCATCATCGTATTGAATTTCATTCGATATTAAATTTTTGTACTCGATTATTATTGTAATCGACGACATAGAGATTGCCATGTCGATCGAACGATAAGCCTATGGGATAATCGAGTTGATTCGATTGTGCTCCTTCACCGTTTCCACCAACAATGACACTTCCCTGTGTGGCTCCTTTTGGCCAACGCATGATTCTATCATTCCCAGAATCAGTCACATAGACAGTACCCAATTGATCGACAACGACTCCATCAGGATAATACAATTGTATAAGACTATTTCCTTCTCCTTGACCACCGGCGACGATAATGCCTTGTGTTGCACCTTCTTCCCATTTCATTACACGATGATTTTCATTATCAGACACATAAACTGGATGATCTAGATCGACAAATACGTAGGTGGGATCAGAGAGTTGATCGAGACGATTTCCTTTTCCATTGCCACCTGCAACCACTGTTCCTTTAGTATCACCAATTTTATATCGTCTCACTTCATGTTTTTCATTGTCAACGACATAGAGAAATCCATTCTCGTCCATTGTCAAACCGATGCAATCGATATTTGAAATAATTGTTTCTCCACGAGTACCATTTTGACGAGGCCATCGAACTACTCTTCTATTCCCTCTATCACTGATGATGAGACTGTCGCTCTCTTTGTCAATAATCACATCTATTGGGCAGTTTAACTGATGAGCTCCATTCCCTTCTTCATTTCCACCAGCAACTACTTTTCCATTCGTTGCACCGGATTTCCATTCCACAATACGATGATTCCAATAATCAGCGACATAAATCGTTTGATCATCGTCGACGTACAAACCATATGGCGAATAGAGTTGATTGGTTTCATTGCCTCGTCCATTTCCTCCAGCAACAGTGATACCATTCGTTGACCATGTTGCATTGGGATGAATATTAATCGAACTTGCACGCATTGGTACTGAAATGAAAGAGAAGTATGGAGTAGAAATAAAGATGGATTTCATGTTGCTAAGAAATTCATGAGTTATTTGTAATTTAATTGATACGATCAGAAGAAATATCTAATTTTTTGTAAACAGATTTATCGAATGTAATTGTTCTACTTTTACAATAATTAAAATTTTTGTGTTGGTTTTTTTGTTCAGAGACAAGACTTTCAAAGAAAAAAAAGAGAATAAAATCTATTGCATCGTTTTAGTTTTAATTTTTGTACTATATGAAAACATTCCATTATCAATCTATATGAAAAAATAATTTCAGAAGATTTAAATTATAAATCAATGAAAATGTAGTTTTATTTCTTGTGTTTTATTGATAAAAAAAATACGATTTATTAATACTCATAAAAATGAAAATTTTATTTTCTACTTATAGATGAAATTAAACAGAGTCGAAATTATTGATAATACAGAAAAAAATGAATATGAGTGTTTGAAATATAAACGATACAACTGAATTTACTGTTTTATCTATTAGTCTTTGTTTGACTCAGTGTGAATTTTCAGTCAAAAGAATAATGAAGAAATCTTTGCTTAATAAGTCCTTATATTTTACATAACAGTCAAAAATAGAATTCGAAATTCACACTGAAAGTCAAACTTGGGAGTATATCCTCTATATTAGAATACAATGCAACCATGTCAATAAAATTAAACTTGTAATTTGAATTAAGTTGAATAGTTAGAATTAGAAGATAGCAATGTAATTCATCTCATAGAGATAAAGCTAGAAGTGATAAATATTAATACAAAATTCTTTTTCCTCAATGATACTTGCTAGATGAGATATTCTCAATTTCTTTTTACATTCATACTGTGTAATACAGACAAAGATAGATCCTTTAAAAAAACAGGAACGAATGTAACTTGATGTACATATTTATGGTAACTTGTAATATTACATATGAATTCATGACTGTTATACAGAATAATTTTTCTTATCTACAGGCAATCAAATTTTTATAATCATCTTCGTGTCTTCAAATTATTCAGACATCTGCTTATGCACACAAACTTCATTTATTTAAAATAGATACAATCTATTACCCTATGAACAAATTTCGAATAAATTACTTGTTTATTTGATTAATGAGGTCCATCTCTTCTCTCATATGAATCTATTTCATACCGTTCTGAATTCTATGTATGATATTTTGTATAAGATGTAGCTGACAATGTTATTTCAATGAAATTGAAAAGATGGCTTATCATTTATTTAAATCAGAATATGTTATTTGTGGTGATTTAAAGAATTTCTTAGAATTTTTTTATCGTATCTGTGTAACATTATCGCTTATAACTGTTTTAACCACCATACTCTGACTTCTTAATTTCTAAACAGACTCTTTGATTTCATTTAATAATTGATCGATTCCAAGTGAAATCTAGTTTGTATAGCAGTGAATAACATAAGGAATGTCGTAAAAAATAGTTCTGTCTATATTTTCAACATTTCTATATATTAGTAGATCAAATAACCTTGTTCTTATTTTCTTTGAAGAATTTCCTTTAAAACTCTATAGAGCATAAAATCATTTATTTCTCTCAACATTCATCAAGAGTTTAACGAATAATATCTATTTTTGTGAACATTTTTATGATGTGTTTTGATTAATTCATTCTATTATTGTCGCCCCAAAAGAAGAGGAAAATATACAAGTCAAAACTATTCATTACGACAGAGTTTATTTTGTAAAAGTTGATACGAGGTGTCAGTTAGAACATTTCCAAAATGTTTGTGAAAGGATTAGACAACTAAAACACTATGAAGATGGATAAACAATAATACTTTAAGATGTGCACTCAATTTCATCAAACGTTAACGAAACAATAGAAATAACTGGAATTGATTAGTGAGATAGAGGATGCGGATGTGGGTTCTATTCGTAATAAAGTGTTTATCAATCCTGTTGATATTCTTTCATTCTGCAATTGCACTAATTTAAAACGTTATCGAAAACAAATTCAAGATTGTATGATGTCTTGGTATACATTCAATAGATATAGTATATTTCGTACAACAACATTTAAATGTTTGAGCTTATTTAGTGCTATAGAAAATTATCGAAGATCATTATGCTATAAGCACATACTTTTGGAAAACTCTCAGTCAGACATTTTTTTAGTCAAAAACAATATAGATATTACTTTTTCATAAAGTTCAGAAAAAACAAATCAGTTGTCAATTATGAATCGTTTCGAAAATTCACTAGTTGTAATATAAATTGTATCCTAATTTTAAATAGTCTATTACATAACTACATTACTAAAATATGAATCGTCTACTTATCTCTATAATCTTACATTTCAAGTTTTTCAACAGTAGTTAAGAAAGTGTAAATTAACTATAGATAGGCTCCAATGAGCTGCTACCTTGACGTATGTTGATTAGGTTACGTTTTCCAATTCTTTTCTTCTATATTCTTAGAACTAAATAAATTGTACGGATGAGTTTATTCCAGAAGAATTAAGTAGGTTAATTTTGAAAAATTTTGAATATACCTATATGAAATAATCATTTGTAAAATTAGAATAAGATCCGTAGCTTCAGATTCTGAAACCAATGAATTAAAATGAAATTCTCTAAGATAATTCAAATTCAAGTAAATAAATATAATTCGATTTTCAGTGTTTTTATTGATTTCAATCATTATTGTTATAGAAAATTTTGAAGGAAAATTTCAAAATGATGAATACTACGATTTTCTTTTTCAAATTTTGGTTCTAACTAGGGTGTGGGTGTGGGTATGGGTGTAGGTGAGGGTATATGTGTGGGTGTGGGTGATGTCTTACTCTATACCCACACCCACACCATTTCTTTTGTAAGAGTTTTTAAACACTTCGAGTTTCGCGAGGTAGTGTTTTTATAAATGCTCGCACTATCACTATCGCCCTTCTAATCACCTATTAAGATTTTATATATGCCACTGGTATGTATAGAAGCCAATGTTAGAATATTTCAATACTCAGCCCACATGAGCCCAATTTAGCCAGACAAGCGTAACAAAGTTGCCAAGTGTCTTTTATTCAAGATAAAAGAATTTAAGATTAGAATGATAGGATTACCGAGAT